TTATCCAAACAAATACATCGAGTAACCCCAGTGTCCCCCACCATTCTTTGATATTTCAAACTAAGTTCATTTCGGATACTATGGTGGAAAAATTATTGTTTGAAATATATGTAAAGAGTTTTTCCATTTCATTTATATTGGCTTGCATAGCTTTGCTCTTAGGATTCTCTTTTGCCTTACAATTACGACAATTCTTAGCATAATATTCCTATTTGTTGCACATAAAGTTGTTGCCTTTGATCCTTTAGAATCACCTCCTTCGGCAATTTTTTGGCTATTATGTTTGCTCTTTTTTTGTTGACTATTATGACACGTGTGCCTTACATTCTATGGAATGGTTACCAATCTTGTTTTTGGCATGTCAAATCATTAATTTTTATTTTTTTTTCATTTGTGCTTCAAATAATTTGTGAAATCCTTCCAATGTGGCAATAATTTTTCAATGATTGTAGCTACTTGAAAAGACTCAATTAAAATCATCCATTCGATATGAATTCCATGTAGTACTTGGACATCTTGAACTTTGTTAGATCACATTTTTGTAATTGACTAATTTTGTGAAGTCCATTATAAATCTTAACATATTTCATGGTTATGATGCTATCAAGTTGAAGATTTGAAAATGTCATTGAAGGGAGGAGATCAAGTGTCAAAGCAACATCAATCAAACTCGGTATGCACCTTCATTCTTAGGATTAAGGTATTGACCTAGACACCTAAGATGAACCCTTATTTATTTTAACTTAAGATGATTAAGATTAAATGGAATTCAAAGCAATCCGTGTATGGCTCCTAGATGTTTTGAAACGAAAAAGACTTTCTAAACCATTTGGTGCTTTGAAAACATAGTTTGAGTTAGTAGCAGACTCTTTTGAGTAACACTCTTTAGTGCTCAAGATGATAAGTTTTTTGCTTGGTTTTAAGCTTAAAAAACTAATAGGACCACCTTATATTCACTAGCCTTCACTAGAGAGGTCTCTTTATAACTTAGGGAAAAATTGAGAAAAGGCCATGGAGGGGGAATAGGGCTCGCTTTATGAGCTTGCTTCAAGTGGTCCCTTGACCTCGCTTAAGTGGTCTCATGGCCACTCAATTAGTATGCTCTCCCAGTCAGGATTGGTACATGTTTTCATTCTAGTTTCAACTACCCTATGAACACCTTTCCACCAATCGAGCGGCAGTCAACAAATCTAAATTTTCTTGTTAACCAAGACTACCCTTATTCTAAACCTATAAATAGAGAGAGTCTTATAACAACTTCCATTTTTATACTTCTTTCCCAAGGATTCCCAAAGTTCTGTAGCTGTTTTGATTGGACTATACATGTTATACAATGTATTATTAAATTTATTGGCAATATAATTCTTGCACAAAAAAGCAAAATGCTTCCATGCATCAACTGCCACAACAACTTGCCAGTCTACTTCATTCTCATGAAGAATTGGAGTATCCTCACGAAGAAACTTTGCAAGATTCGACTTAGTGAGACAGAATAACATCATTTGTTGGCATCTCTTAAAATAATTCTTATTGAAATTTTTGGATATTAGATTATCATGTATTTCACATATATAAAATTACTTAAAAATAGATGATATGGGTGCCTTAGAAATTTTAAAGTGTTATGAATCTTACTTGCATTTTGAGAGAAATGAGATAAAAGCAGCCAGATAGTACCTTTGTATTTGAATTATAAATTTATATTCCGATATACAATGGCTATGAATTTTGGGCATTAAAAACTAGACTTCAATGGCAACAAATGTGTACTTTATAAAAATTTTGTAAATCAACTTCTAACTAGGCCAAAACTACTTTGAAAGTTTAGATAGAAAATGGGAGTACGTTTGAACGCTAGTTCAAGTTCGAATGAAGCTTAGCAACATTATTTTAGTTCTGGCTGAGACAGCTGATAGAATATGAGATACTAGGAGTAGAGCACATTCAAATGCAGGTAACATTCGAACAAGGCACGTTTGAATGCCATTCACATTCAAACGTGAGTGCGCGTTTGCTGTGATTAGGTCGCACTGATTGAACAGTTTTTGACCTTATAAATATCCTAAGGACATTCCTTAGGTCATGTTTGAGTAGTCTACAACCCTATGGAGCAACAATATGGTAATAGGAAAGAAAAGGGAAAAAATCATGAAGGATTAAAGCGTGAAAAATGCAACAAACGTTCTAAAGATTCACTAAACTATGGGTTAAGGTTGGGGTTCTTTCTCAAGTTTATAAATTAAGGCTAGGGCTATTATTTATATTTTGTTTATCTTAATATTTAAATATATGTTAAATAAATATATATTGAAAATTCCTTTTAATTACGTGAACCATTTTCTTGAAAATATATGATTTACATCCAAGATTTATTTGTTCTTGTTTCGAAAACCCTAGTTTTTGATTATGATCAAGAAAAATATGTTTATGGAAGATATTTTGCATGTATTTCTTGAAGTATTCCCTTTGAAAATTTGTGGAACCATGATTCTTTATTATAGTTGGATTTTATGAAAAATTATGAAAAAAACGTCTCTTTTATGGGTGATATGATGAACTTGGTTTGCAGTCCACCGTGTATCGTAGAGTGCTTAAATGAATTCCTTACCTTGAGGGGTTTGAAGATTTTCTAACACTCGTAGTGAAATTTATTGGTTCCTTGCAAGGTTTAAGAATTCATTATTCGCTTACAATGATCAAAGTGGAGGATTAGTATACTATTCATGAGAAGTTATGTCAATGTCGATGCATCGGTATACGTGCTTCTTGAATACAATTTATCGTTACGAGGATTGGATTTATAATTGAGTGCGTGTGTGTGGGTCAAAATATTCTTGATGTGTGGATTCATGGTAGTCAATCTGTGTACATGAGGTATATGTTTATTGTGATGATATATGGATTTAGAGCTAATTTTATTTCCTCATGAACTTTATTGTGGGTACTATAAACTCGAAATCTTATTAATTTTCATCACTTTAGAATGCTCTCATTGGTTTATAAATAGTTAATGCCTTTTAATGTGGAATTGAGGCATTATAGACAATAATAGACACCGTAGAATTTGTAGTAACAGAGCCATTATTCTCATTTGTTGTTATTTCTAATAAATAGAAATGCAAAATAGAAATCTTCAAAAACCATAAAAGTAGTTACCAGAACTCAAAGCTTGTAACCAAAATAGGTTTTGTAGTGACAAACAATTATAGTAATTAGTTACTGAAAATAGAAAGAGTAGTAACTAAAATATGTTCTGCAATAAAAAGTATATGCAAAATTTTAAACAATAAATTATTGCAATACGCATAAACAGAATATTGCAAATATAGGCACTAACAAAAATACAACTGATTGAAAATCATATTCTTAGCATTTGTAGTATTTAAAACAATTTGAAATACTAATCAGTAACATAATAAGTAATAAACGAAAGTTTGTATAAATATGGTTCGGAGAATGTATCACATGCGCATAATATACAAATCATCCAATTGAAGAACAATAACACATAAATAAACTGACCCAATTTTAAACCAAAAAATATATGAAATATGATCAAGACTAGTGTTTGACACTATGTCCTTAAGACAAATTTTGCCTTAATACTTGTTCTTACAGATTGTTGAGTGTTGGCATCCTAGGATATAATCAACGCAAATGGATGAAGCACTACAAACTAGAATTGTGTTTCATTGTCTCTGGAATGAAGATCTTTAATGAAAAATTATGAAATGTAATGGTTATTATTAATGAGAGAATGTAAAATGAATCTAGGGTATCTATAAATGCAAAGGTGATTGTTTGGAACAACCACCATGATCAAATGCAACCCAGAAAGGCACCATCAAATATGACTATTCATGAATAGCCAAAAATTTTGAATTTCAAACTAGTGGAAAATTCAAATCCAAACTCGTGTGAAATTTGAATTCCATAAGGAATAAATTAAGGACCAAATTGACAAAACGAATGTTACCCAAAAAGGTATGGTTAGATCACACTCACACCCAAACCTAACCAAGTAGGGGCAACAACATGCGTGTATAGTCAAACCCAAGTCTATATAGGTCCTCTCCCATCCACAAAAGTGGAGTGCCCCGTGGGCCCCAATGCCAAGTGTAAACTAGGGGATTGTTTGGTTGCCATGTTGGGGGGGGGGGAATAAATCATTTTATTGGATTCAAATTGGTCTAATGGTGTCTTACACTACGTTTGTTAGTCAAAATTGGCTATGGATTATGTAGAGTACTATTTTAAATACGTATACCAACCATATATTTTTAATATAGTACATCTGTAGTAATAGGTCTATCTCCTCCTCTACGCACTTCTCTCACACCCACTACAAACTGCTTTGCACAAAAGACTTGGGTTTCTCTAATTAGACAAAATTCAAAAAAAATTGAGGTTAGATTTTCACCACTAAATATGTTAAATTTACAATAAGCTTCTATTTTATTGAATTTTTCTCATCTTTATTTTGAATATAGATTTCATAGTTTTTGGGGTTGTTATTGGGGTTGTTTATGTTATGGGTTTGGGCAATGATATCGATCAACCCTTTAGTTACGCTGCTTGGCATTGCACTGGAGGTGTTTAATAGAATGCCAACTAGCTTTAGAATGCTCAAATTTTTCAATATATTAGATGGCTATTTGTTCTATTATGGGGCTCTTTTTATTTAGGTTTTTTGGTTTGGATTATGGGGATGTTCATGGGGGATTGTTCATGGCTATTTTTTTTTTAATGTATGAATTCTACATAAAATCTATGTATTCATTACGAAATTAACATAGACTTAGTGATTGGAGTTTAAATTTAGTGGGTTTAGGTGATAAATGAATGAGTCTATCAGATTTGACAAATAAAAGGATCAATACCAATCCGGCTAAACACCATTTATATACAACGTGAGCCCGACTATACCCGATTATAAATTGTTCATGTATGAATTAAGTAAGCGTGGGAACCTCTTTGGATTTGCTTGTGCCAACCGACAGGCACAAAAAAACCAACTTCTCTCTAGTTCAACCAAGGCAAATAGGACACCTTTCATTTTGCTAGTGCCAACCAGTGTAGGCATAAGCCACCAAGGAACGTGGGTCACGCGTGGGCAGGCAAAAGAGGTAGCCATCAAGGCGCGTGGATCATACTTGGGCATGTACAAGAGGCAACCCCCAAGGCATTGCCGACCGCCAAGCACTCTGCTTGCCAAGAGGCACTCTGCTAAGGGTCCTCCTAGTTGCCCACTTCCATTGGATTAGTCCTACTCAGCTAAGGGTTAGCCTAGGACCAAGAGTCCTAGCAAAACACTACTTCGAGAATCGAGGGACTATTGATAAAATCAACAACGCCTCCTAGTAAACACATCTCATCCTACAATCTAGGACCTGACATTCTAGGACGATTCTAGCTCAAATTTCTAGGGTGTTAGTGAAGAGGTCTATCCTATTACAACCTAGAGTTTGAGGTCGTTTAGGATTTAACTTCCTACTATTATAAATAAAGGCTCCGGGTACCAGGTAAGACATTCAATCTGAGCCTATTCACTTTATATTTTTCTTTGATTTGTGATTTGACTTAAGTAACGGAGTATCTTTGACCACCTCCAGCCATCGGTTCACTTAATTATTCTCTTGTCTTGTAGGTTACTCAAGGATTACTCACCACCCTTTCCATCCGTACAAGGTGGTTACTTTCTATGTGGATTTATTCCCGCACAATTGGCATCATTTGTGGGAAACAACAAAGTTTCTGGCTACCTAGAAACCTTAAACCATATCTAAAGAGACAACACTCCAAACCCATCAAGGAGAGACGGGTTATCCCAGGAAATGAGCGACTCCTACCAAGGAACCAACACTATCTTCAATGAGCCTATCCATCAAATGCTGAACCAAATCAAAGACAATGAGAATTTTAGGTGGCCACCTAAGATGATAGGAGATCCATCAAAGCAAGACCGAAACTTCCATTGTTCTTATCACAAGGACAAAGGCCACTAGATGGAGAATTGATTGGCACTCAAGCTCCACCTAGAAGAGTTGTTCAAGGAAGGACACCTCTCTCGGTATATTGACAAGGAAAAGATAACCAAGGAACAGGAAGAGCAACAAATCCAATCAAATGACCAACCAGATATCTCAGTTTTACTTTTAGCTTAGTCAACTACGTCTTATTATTTCAATAAGTGTTCAAAGAAATTTGTTTCTCGTTCTTATTGATTAGAAAAGAGAATTTTTTTTTCACAACTCTAAGTGTTAATGTATTCGTGAGTATTACAACCTTCGTGCTTGCACCTACATCCAACATATGTAGTTGCACGACAAGCCAACTTCATTGGTTGCATCCCAAACCAACCTCTATGGTTGCACCTATAGGTGACCTTTGTGGTTGTACCTACAACCGACCTCATTGGTTGCACTTCAAGCCAATCTTCGTGGTTGCAACTCAAGCTAAACTTTGTGGTTACACCTCAAGCCGACCTCTGTGGTTGGATCTAAAGCCAACCTCCTTCTTTACACTTCAAGTCAACCTTCATAGTTTCACCTAAAGCCAACTTCTATGGTTGCACCTAAAACCAATCTCCTTGGTTGCACTTCAAGCCAACTTCCATAGTTTCACCTCAAGAAAACCTCTGCGGTTGCACCTACAACTAACCTCTATGGTTGCAACTAAAGACAAACTCCTGGTTGCACTTCAAGCTAACCTCCGTGGTTGCACCTCAAGGCTACTTCGCTTTCATGCGGCCTCTAAGGTTGCTATTCTACGTTACTTTGCCTCCTTGGAACTTCCACAATTGCCTTTCAAGGCTACTTGGCCTCTTTGCAACCTTCGCGATTTACCTTTCAAGGCTTCTTGGCCTCTATGCAACCTACACGGTTGCCAGTTAGACTACTTCGCCTACATGAAATCTCTAAGGATGCTCTCTAAGTTACTCAGCCTTTGTTAGATGACCAGCAACTTTTACAATTACTCAACAGACTGCTAAGCCTTTCTTAAGGACTTTTCACCCCCGAGAATCAAATCTCTCAACTCGTGGGGACCTTCCCCTTTTAGTTAGAATGGGGAACACATGTGTTAGAAGACTCGAGTCACCGCTACCAAGGAACTTTTTCATGTTCTTAGGAATCAAGATATCACTCTCATACAATGAAACGTATCAATCCCGACTGCCTAAAAGCTCCTCCCCAACCATCTCTGAAGGACTTATCCTTCTCTTCTGCATATTTCTTCTTGAATATGTTCAAAGATCCTGAAGTAATGATCATAGACAACATTCTTTACTTGCTCAACATTTTCCTTAGCAAGTTCCTCTTGAAACTCGCCAACTCGAGTCTCTACCTCAGCAACCTTATTCTTCAAGAATACATTCTCCACTCTATAATCCTTAAGTTGCTTCTCAAGCATGTCTATCCTAACCATATCAGACTTAGCTTTTCATGAGCAAATAAAGTCAGTCCCCCGCACAATTGGCATCAAGCAACAATGAATGCTTCTCCTCTCCTCTTAGCCAATCTCTAAAGTAATATGAAGAACATAGGAAGGGGAAGGGGACAACGAGTGGTTAAACGATTGTCTACTCTTTTTATTTGCATTCTTTGTCGCACTAGAAGCAGGTAGCAAAAAGAGTGTGGTCTCATTATCTACGTTAATGAATGAGACTATAGGCACTTTTCTTAGTCCTCTAGGTAAAATGAGCTCGTTATCAATGAGTTGGGCCCGAAAGACACTCAATCATCCAAAACCATGCTTCAATCAATTTGCTCAATTAAAAGAAGCATAGGGGCAATTGTAGGGAACCTCCTTTAGATTTGCTTGTGCCGACCAATAAAAGCAATCAAACTAACTTCTCTCTAGTTTAACCAAGGCAAAGAGGACACCATTCACATTGCTAGTGCTGACTATCAGGCACAAGCTACCAAGGTAGTGGGTCACGCATGGGCATGCGCAAGAAGAAACCACCTAGGCATGTAGGTCACGCTTGGGCAGGTACAAGAGGCAACCACCAAGTCATTGCTTTGTTTGATGAGAAATTTTAATTCCTCTAGAGCAAATTGCTTTAAATCAGGTTCTCCATGTACTGTAGGTAGATGTGGGTTCTGATTCTTTTGCATCAATTTACCTTTTTTTCTCATTAAGGTTCATATCATCTATGGTTTCCATGGTATATTGGATAACAAAACCAAGCAACCCAATATTGTGTTATTTATTATTCATAGTGTCATAATTGATTTAGTAATTCTACCAAAAAGGATTCAACTTCGTATTATTCTTTTGGAATAAAAAGTAGAAGTTCTTTTGGTGTAAGTATTTTTACACGCATGGCTCTATTCCAATATTAACCTTCCTTGTCAATCACCAGTAACAATTTGGATGGAATTAAAAGTCATGGGGTGATCCCGTGACTCAATAATTAGATCAATTGATAAATTTATCCTTTTTAAGCAATCACCATAAACTTTATCCTTTTCTAACCAAATCACAAAAGCACCGAATAGAGCAACAATTAGTTGAAACCATAGTGTTTAAACCTCGTGTTTGAGACTCTATGTAGAATATACTTGTACATGTAAAAAGTATTAAAGAACTTGATGAGGATGGAATTATGTGAGATGAACTTTTGAATCTTTATTAGTTGAAACCATAGTTTTTGGTTAACTTTTTGTATGGGTTTCTCATTGGTACTAACGTGATTGCAAATTTTAACATTTTTACATATGCCAATGCAGCTTGTCTGACATTCTGATGATTCAAGGACATACTGACTACAAATGTTACTTGTTGGTGACATATGAAGTGCTTTTAGTTTTTTTAATTATTATTTTTCATTTTCATTTTTTTTTTGTTAGGAATGGTAATTTTGATCCATTCTGTGTGTCTGGTGGATTTATTTACATTGGTTTAGGATTTATTTACATTTAAATAAATGAAAATTTTAAAATTTTATTGATGATGTATTAGTAGATGAGTTTGTCAAATTTATAGTAAAAATTGTAATATGTTAATATTATTGTTAACTCCAAACTCAATTAACTTGATATGTCAAGTACTAGGCTTAATATTGTTCTTGGCTATAAAAGAAGTGAAATAATAATATTTTTATATGCTTTGACGATTTTACATCATATTATTCGCAAATCTAAATAAAAAATGTCATTTTTGTAATATCAATGACAATGTGTATCTTTCTAACATTTTTTGGTCAAGTTGATTAATTTTATCATATAGACCAAATATTGAAAATAAAAATTTAATTAAAGCTTTTTTATTTAACTCTAATATTTTTTTTTCCAAATAAATATTGCAAAAAATTCTTATAAGTATTGAATTAAAGTGGATACGGGGCATTTCTATCATTACATCATGAATACCATAGAATAAATGACCTAACAAAACACTGAATCTAATTAATAACTATTATCCCGTTCTTTGTCCTTGCTTTGCCAAATACATAATTGAAATGTGTAATATTTTAGTATTCTATTTAGTCATACATTTTGTCTATATATACAATATTAGACTACTAGTTATTGTCTATGTCTAAAAGCACAAAGGAATAAAAAATGGTAAACAATAAATATATTTATATTCATATCTAAAATCAAATCACAAACATAGAAGAGAGATAAATGAATTTAAGCATCGGTTGTAGTGGGGGTGAGAGGTGGTGGGCGACAGTGGTGGTGGTAGGAGACGGTAATGGTTGTGGTGGGAGACAATGACCGTGGTGACGATAGTGGTGGTGGTGGCGGTTGTGGCTGTGGCAGCTACGGTGACAGTGGCGACGACGGTGACAGCGGCGACAGTGGTGATGATGGTGGTGGTGGCGACGTTGGCAGCAACGGTGGTGGTGGCAGTGGCAGTGGTGACGACTGTGGCAGAGGTGGCGATGGTGGAGGTGGTGGGGGTGGTGGTGGTGGAGATGGCGACGGCCATGGGGGTGGCACCGGCAGCGACGACGATGGTGGTGGTGGCGGCCAGGGCGACAATGGAAGCGACAGTGGTGGTGGTGGGGGCGGTGGTGGGGTGATGGGGTGGTGGCGGTGGCGGCGGTGGCGGTGGTGGCGATGGTGGCCACGGTGGTGGTGGTGGTAGTGGTGAGTCGGTTTCAAACACTATTTTGAAAAAAAAACCATTTATGAGAAATAATTCCTAAAACTATTTTTAAAAAGTCACTTCAAACACACCCTTAGAGCACTATTTTTCCTATTAAATCTAGGGTATTAATATTAGCTGTTAGATTAACTTTAAAGTAAAATTT